CGGGAAGGCTTTTTGAGGAGTTTCTGAGGAAAGCGGCTCGTTCTTGTGGCCGGTTCCGAAGGCGAAGGTGAGGCGGGCGGTCCCACCGCTCCCCTCCCCGCCCCGGGTTTGCCCGGGGCCCGCTGACGCTGGCGTGTTTTGGTGCTGGTTTAATAGAAGCGCGGTTTCTGTGTGAGAGCTGCTCCAATAAAGGCTGTAGATGAAGTTCGCCGCCGTAGAGAGGCTGGGTGCGGCGCTGTCCCTCCGGCTCGCGAGCATTTGGCGCCCGTGTTGAGTCGGTAGGGAAATCGCCCTCTGTGCACGCCGATTGTTTTTTAATTTATTTTATTTTATTAGAGAAATAGAGGAGGACGAGAGAGCTATCGAGGGGACGCGCGGGCTGCAGAGGGCACGTCGCAGACCTCGGGAGACGCTGATCACCGAGGCGGGTTAGCAGGAGGTGGCTGTTCTCAGTACAGAGCTCTTTGTTGTCGAGGAGTCAGAGCAGTGAAGGTAGAAGCACTGAAAGCCAAGCCGAGTGCGGAGTAGCAAGAAGATGCGAGGGCGTGGGTGGGAGAAAACTGCCGGCCTTGCCCGGAGCGCTGGGAAGCTCCTGGAAAAGCTGCTCCTGGGTGATGTGCTGTAATTTTGCTTCAAGGCCACAGGGTGGGGGACGCTGGGCCCGTGCTCTGTCCCCTGCCCCGGCCAGCAGTGGGACAAGCCCCGATTTCCCCGATGGACAGGTTTAAGCTTGACCAAATTTTAGGCTGATTTAGGTTTCCAGCCAGGGAGGAGGAAGGTGGCTGCCGGGGGAGCAGCAGGCTGTCGGGAAGCTCCTGGCTGCGTGCGCACAGCTCTGCTCCGAGCTGCGTTGGACGGTTTCCATCGCCTCGGGCGCAGCCGGATGGGCCGGGGCAGGCGAGATCCGCTGGCTGGCGAGGCGAAGCCCCCCGGGCTGGGGGCCGCCCTGATTTAGGTTTCCAGCCAGGGAGGAGGAAGGTGGCTGCCGGGGGAGCAGCAGGCTGTCGGGAAGCTCCTGGCTGCGTGCGCACAGCTCTGCTCCGAGCTGCGTTGGACGGTTTCCATCGCCTCGGGCGCAGCCGGATGGGCCGGGGCAGGCGAGATCCGCTGGCTGGCGAGGCGAAGCCCCCCGGGCTGGGGGCCGCCGGAGGCGCGGGGCACGGCCAAGGATGGCGGGGCAAGCGCCGTGCCTCTCACCAGCCTCGGGGCGGGGTTTAAATTTAGTTTTGTCTCTCTGAACGTGATGCAGGAGCGGGGGAAAACCGCTGGAGAGCTGTCGCTGGCGTGGCGGGGAGAGCAGGGCGCGAGGGAGGGCTCTTTCTGCGGGGCACGGCAGTAAAAGCAGAGCCCCGGGGCTCCGCCGCCACTGAACCAGCGGGTCGGGTGTAAATGGGGAAGAGCAGTAGCTTTAATGTCCCTTCTACCCCGTCTTTTTAATCCTCATTTTCCCGCTCACTTGCCCACAAGCGAGGGTAGATTACTTTGCATTTTTCCAGATGACAAGTCCATTTTTCTCGCGTACCGCTGGTGATCGTCGGGTGTTGAAGATGTTAATGACGCACGTTTCTTTGAGCTGAACCAGATTCAGATCAGTCGCGTAGCTGGATTATAGCGAGCAAAACCCTATAAATATTTAAAAGGCGAGCATCAGAAAAAGCCCCCCCGGGGGCTACGGCTGCGTGGGGAGAAGGTGCGAGGAGCGCGCTCGGCTGGGCTCTCGTCCCCTGCCCTAAGCAGTGAGGTTTGGGGCTGGCTCCTGGAAACGCAGCCCCTCGGGGGAGCCGGGGTTGGGTCAAAACACCCCGTTTTGTCCCCTGAAACACGGCGACCTCGGGAAATGGGGTGAATAAGACATAAAATCTCTCGTTGTTCACAGGGATGAGGCAAGGATGCTCCGCAGTCCGCACGCAGAGGGTTTGCGAGAAGCTCCAGCTTAAAAAGTGTGAATTACCGCTTTGATTAAGTATTTAAGAGTCATGTATATTAATACGCCGCTGTTCTCCCAAGCGCCTTGGCCTGGCAGCTCTCCCCTGGCCGCGGTGGCTCCGGCGGCTTGGGGAGGGTGCAGCCGGCAGGGAACGGCTTTCCCATCCCGGGGGAGCGGAGCCGGCATTGATTTTCATGGGTGTTTGGAGGGTGTAATCAGGGGAGAGGAATCCACTCGATACGGAGCGGGCAGAGCGCAGGCAGCGCGGCGGTGGGAAAGGGCAGGCTGCCGGTGAGTAACCGCGCTCCGGCCCTGGCATTTCCCCCGATGGCGCCGAGCGGGAGGCTGAGATCGAAACGGCGCTGGGTCCCTCGTGACGGGAATCGCCCGAAAAGCTGGATTGGGAGAAATTCAGCTTTGGCCAGGGAGGGGGGAGTGGGGAGGCCGCCTGGCTCCAGCCTCCCTGGGCTTTCTGAACTGGTGGAGCCGGTCCCAGCGCTGCGGTCCCTGCGGCTCTTGCCTTCTTTTCCAGTAGGAGGATCTGTTCAACAAGCTGACGCTCACCCCGGGGCCTGGTGAGCTCCTACGGCTCGCGAGCAGCCTTTCCTTGTCTGCTTTCCACACGGCGGCCCTCAGGTGGCTGGAGAATCGAAAGGCCGGGACGAGAAACGCTGGGTAATTAGAAAGATCAGCTCCTCTCCTTAAATATTTCAGTTCTGGTTGTCTACGCCTTCAAGAAGGAGAAAGAAAAGGTATAAAGAAAAGCGGAGAGATGGAGCGCTGTAGCACAGCGACCTGTCCTGGCCGTCCCCGGGGGACAGGGGGGACCGCAGCCACCGCCGGTCCCCGGGAAGGGACCTGTCCCCTCCTCGCTTGCTCGGG